TCAAAAATGTACCTTAAAACAAAACAAAAACAACGAAAATGTGCCCCAAAATCAGCCTGAAATCGTGTAACATTGCATAAATCGGTGGATATGATATCAGCAGGAGATCCATCAACAGAATCACCACAATTTTCAAAATCATCTTTGGAATATTTAAAGTAATTATCTTTATCTTGCTGGATAGTTTTTTTGTCAGGATCAATTCTCCATCTAACAATAGATGAATCGTTTCTACTATTAGTTACTAAAAACTTAAATTAGGACTATATTTTATTCATCAATATCATGTCCATTATGTGGATTAACTATATTTTGTTGTTGAATAGCAGCATCATTTGTATCATTTGTATTTAAATTGGAATTATAATTATCTTATTTTGTAATTGATATTTTTATCTTCTGTTACTACTTCTATAATGTCAATATCATTTGAGTCAAAGATATTATTTTCTTCCATTTTTTTAGTAATAATAAATAAATAAAACCTTTTCAATGTAAAGGATAAATTTTTAATGCACATTGTTCTGTGATTACTTTTATACTTCTTTTAAGTTGAATATACCAATTTCAGTATTGAAATTAGCCAATAGATTATTTTTACATGTTGTAGAGAATATTTGAGGTAAAATTAATGAAAAATTAATGAAAAATTCAATTTTAATTTGAAACAAGTAACATTTAAAAGAAACTGCAATTTTCAGGGCCAAAGTTGATGAATACAAAAAAGATGATTTTTAAGAAATTTGTGGGTGACCAAATGGTTTCAGATCAGTAAGATCATCTAGAATGCAGGGCGGTTCACTTTATAAGATGGTTTTAAATATGTGTGTATTAATAGCAATATTAACAACCAAAACTGTTTGAGGTTTGATTAATTTTCTTATAATGTTAGATTTCCCTTGTTTGCTTTTTAGTTAACATTAATATAGTTGACCAAGATTTTTTATGACAACAGTAGTGGTGATCATGTCAATGATTATAATGGTGGTGGTGCTGATTGCTATGAACAACCACTATAAACATCCCTCTATTTGTATAGTTGGCTCGGTCTAAAGACCTCCTAAGTTTTGCATAAATTTTAAAAGTATAGAAGTCACTTTCTGTCCTATC